AAATACACACTTAACAGGTACTGGCCCCAGGATCAGTACTCAGCTTGGAGGAGTCCAGGGACTGTTTGCTGTAAAGTAATGGCTTCTGGCCAGGGTTCCAAAGTCTGAAATGTGAAGGGTCCATCAGCCTGAGAGGAAGTGCCCCTCCCGTTATGAAACGGCGTGAGATGTCTTGTTGGGTGCAGCTGTTCCTTGGCACAGCAAATCAACTCTGGGATCCTTGTGGTTGTGGAGCTGCTGTGCACCCCAGTCCCTTACAAGAAATAGCTTGGTGTTTGCTTAGAACCCAGAACACATCCTCCTGTAAACTTTGCAGTTATCTCCAGATGACTCATGAGACCTAACACAATGTCCGCGTTGCATAACTAATTGCTAGTAGTGTATCATTTTGGCAGTGACCACAGGGAAAATGTCCTACATAACCAGTATATAGATTAATTTTTCCCTAATATTTTCAGTCAAGTTTGGTTGGAACTGTAGACCTGAAAACACATGGTGCCAAGTGCATTCACCCAGACTTGTGCTTCACTTCAAAATGTTTGCAGAGCCCAGTTCATGCCTGTGCTTCTTTTCAGGTCAACCATTTGGTTGCTGCAGGCACTGAGCCAGTCCTGCAATCTCTGTTTGTGATGCAGCCTGGAGCTCACTTGTCAGACATATAGCAGGCCGAGGAGAGAAGCCTGGCACAAGCTACAGGCCCAGGGTGCTGGGGCTGAGTGTCTCCCAGCAGGTCTGGAAGTAAAGAGTAATTCCCATTATGGGTAAAAATAGCCAATGTCTCACATTTATGTAGACTTCTGAAATTTAAGAAGAAAGTTCTAAAGACATGAATTTTCTGTATCTTCAGAATTTCAGAAACACCTATACTCTAAAACTTTCTTGTTTCCATTTGCACACATTACTGAGACAGATGTTTTCTGAATTTTCAGTGATAATATTTGTCTTTGTAATTAATTTAAGAAACATATCTTATGTTTTTATTTTGTTTGCCACATTAGCAATACATCTAGTGCAGCATTAAAAAAGAATGTTTTAACATGTGTAGAGTATGTCAAAAGCAGCGGCACTAGGAAACTTGGTGAAAAGAAAGTATTTCTCAAGTTAAACTTTGCAATTTCCACCCACTTTGCACAGGACACTCTTCGTGGGTTCAAGGTCATTTTCCCAGCTCCAGTACCGGTATTGTCCGGTATTGTCTGGCTGCCTTTGTCCCTCCCTCTCCAGTCCAAGTCTCCTTCTTTCATGAAGGTTTTCTACAAAAGCAATGGGCAGATCCTCTGCCTCAGACACCCCTTCGAGGCTGGTGAACCCACATTTGTCTGGCTCTTGTAATGGGTTGTTAAAAGCACTTGTTCATCAGATATTTTCTCTCTTTTTTTCTTTGTAGATTTAGAAGTATTTTAGCAGGTGTACATTTGCATATAAAAGAGAATAAAAGATAAGAAGTTGAGGCTTTTTCTTTCTCCTCTTGTTAACATCATCTCTCTCCTACCTCCCTGTGTTTAGTGTGTTTTCACTCTTTTTCTAGCCATTTCTAATTTTTAGATACAAAGTGCCTATCAAAAAGAAAGCAGGAACCTCAGTGACCTTCAGCACACTGCAGGATGGTGAGGCCCAGCAGTGCGGGTACCAGTAAGAGAAGTATGTTTACGGGTCTTGCCATTAGTATGGATTTACAGGGTGGATTTTAATCTCCTGGAGTTGGACACTACCCAGGGTGGGAGCTTTGCTTTGTTTCATGTTTTCAACTGTAACATTCTCTGCTTTTAAACTAAATCCTGCTGCAGATTTGGATAGCAGAGATGCTTGATGGAGATTCAAAACTGAAATTGGTAGCTTGCATGTGTTGTTTCTGTGTCTGAGAGACTGTTCCAGCTGAAAAGAAGTGAATGCTTCAGAAACATTTGTTTAAGGGAATTGTTTTCACATTCAGTTAACATTGCTAATGGGGGGAAGCGTTTCCCTGGAGTTGTAAGTCACAGGCTCAAAGGCAAGTAACAGCCACCCTGCCCTCAAATTTTCAGATTGTGGCTGAGAAGACTGAGTTCTTTTTTCTTTGGAAATATATGAACTCTGTTGCTTTCTCATTTATAGCAAGCTAGCTTGAACTTCGCGATTTGTAACTTTCACTCCTTGTTCATTAATTTCTGTTCATTGATAACTGTGGTTGTGTGTAAGGCAACTTTTATTTTTCTTTGCTTTTTTTTTTTTTTTTTTTTCCTGGTACCAGAGATTGAACTCACGACCTTGCGCTTGCCAGGCAGGTGCTTATGCCACTGAGCTAAATCCCAGGCCCTGTCTTTGCTTTTTTTGAGACAGGGTCTTACTGTATAGCCCATGCTGCCCCCAAATTTATATCTTCCTGCCTCAGCCCCCCCATGTGCTAGAATTACAGGTGTGCACCACTGTAGTGCAGCTTATAACTGCTTGATTTGTTCCTCGTTTTCTTCGGGAAAAGCCTGGGCCTGAGATGCTGTGAAACTTGTACCCGTTGCTTTTCCCTTTTGTACCATGAGGTTGGCATTCCGGCTAAGCCTTCTGGGCTGGTGTCTGAATTGTTTGAGAGCTCTAGCAAAAAGTATATGCTTGCCTCCAAAGATTATGAAACCTGGTCCAGCTGCTAAGGACAGCTGCTTAATCTCAGCTGGCTCTGCAGCCTCCTTCTGTGCCAGCCAAGGTCACAGCTCTTTCAAAGAGAAAGCTTTTCTCAGTGTCCAGCTTGGATCCTTTGGCTGCTAAGTATTCTTGTGCCACTTTAGTAAACAGAAAGATTGCTCACTGACATCCAATTTCCAGGTTGCCAATGTGCTCCTTTCAGATCTGGCAGTGACTTAGTATTTTTAAAACAAAAAGACCAAGTCTACAAGACCAGGCTCACTTTCCCACCTGGCAGCCCCGGCTGTAGCCAGAGAGCTGCTGTCTCTGATGGGCAGGGACACCTCTGTGCAGTGCCTGGGTGGCCCCAGAGGTGTCTTCAGTCCGAGCCCCATGGAGCCGGTTCTCAGGATCTGTCCTTAACCACCCTCTGCGAACCAGCTGCTTTAGCCATGCCTGATTGTTTAAAATCAAGCCCACTCATCCGACTTGTCTTCTCTGGACTGTCTCCCAGCGCAGCAGATCTCACTGACTGCAGGTGGGACCCCTGCTGGAGAGGGTGAGTCTGGTCTCTGTGCTTTGGGTATGTCCATTACTGGTGATTTCTGAAACTTCCCAGTTCTGAGAGCACTAGAGCAGCTTACACTGGGGCTGCTGGTGGTGCCACGCCCAGCAATCCTTAGCCTCGTGTTGCCAGCACTGACCCCTCCGGTCAGGAAAGCTATGTCCCACGTGGAAGTTGCTTTCCTCCAGAGAAGATTGCAGCAGGCCTGTGAGGCTGTGCTAGTGAGGGGAGGAGGGAGAGGTGTTGAGAGTGAATGGGGGAAGGGAAGGAGACTGGGACGGGGACCCAGAGTGTCCATCATTGGTTCCCTGCATCTCAGTGATGTGCTTCCTTGCTAGACTGACCCTGTGTCACTAATGACCTGTGTCACAGATGCCTGGCGCCCTGGCTGAAATCACCTTGGGCATCAGCTCCATGTTTCTCCTTCTGAACATCTGCATGCTTCTGTCCACCAGTAGCTGCTCCGTTTTTATTCTTATTTTGTTTTTTCTTTGCTATCTTTTCCTTGACCAAATAAGTTTAATCAAATGCAAAAGTGACACGTGGTTATTATCCTAAAAACTGAAAAACCTTTTGGTTGATTGTTATATAATAAAATCACTGTCATCTCTAATGATTCTTTACCTTTAGGGGTTCAGGCACCCTGAGTCCACTGCTGTTTTCCCTGCCCAGGCCACTTCCAGCAAGTCATGTGGCCCTGTTGGGAGTGTTAGTGACCAACCTGTAAAAAGCACTTTTGGTCCCAGGCTACTGCTTGCATGGCACAGACACACACATACACATAGTACAGACACACACGCCACATACATGTATTACAAATACGTATGTACATGCACACATACACATTATACAGACCAGTCCTTTCCCTTCTGCATGAATTTCACTTGGTATTTTCTTTGTTAAATTTTTAAAAATACTAGTTCCATCACACCAAACTGATTTCACAGATCAGTAATGTTAAAAAAATGCTGCTTTGGAACTTCATGTCTTCAGAGTTAAGAGCTCCTGATCCAGGTAAATTTTAATGATACCACATTTAATATTTCCAGGTACAGTGTTCATTTCAAGTAATCATTGTGACTTGACTCATTTTCAGTAAAACAAGATGAGTGATGCTTTCCTTTTCAGCCTAATGGTAATTTTACTCCAGGAATAAGGAGCCTGCAGTTAGGGTCTTAAACTAAGTCAGCAAAAGCAGGAAGTTGACCGGTAGCCTGTGTCTATAGCAAGAATCTTTTTGGGGCCACATGGTTGCTGTTCTGTTTCATCTTTGCTTGGAAAGACTCCCCAACCTCCGTTTCATCCTCGTGTCCTTGATACCTGGGGGAATGGGCTGGCTGTGGAATCTTGTTGTCCTCTCTACAGCCTAGCCAGGATGTCTCCTGCAGGTGTAGCAGCCCCCACAGACACACCCCTATCTTCCCTGTGGTTGGGACCCTGAGCTTATCCTCATCACCCACCCCAACACTACTCGCCAGCCTCTCCAGAACCCTGTCCCCAGTGGGAGAGCTGACACACAGGGCTGTCCCAGGCACTGACCACTGGGGATGTGGGCACTGTCTTCGCTCCTGCTGCTCTCAGGGGCCTGAAAGGGAAGGAAGCCTCTGAGCCAGGAAATGACCGTGATTTCCTGCTGCAGATGAACTCTTATAGCTCAACTCTTCTTTGGGTCTTGAAGCCTGGGTTCAACTAAATTGTGTTTTGTTTGCAAAATTTCTGAAAAAATGACAGTTCAAAAAATAATTTGTGTGCACTTGAAAAGTGTTAACCTCATGGGAAGAATTTATGATATCTCTTGACAGCGGGAAACTCAGCATTCTGTGCTTTCTTTAATCTACAGAAACAGAAGCCTACCAGTTGCTGAAAAAGTCCACCCTTCAGGAATGCACAGGTCAGATGGGAGGCAGGCTCCAAGGGGCACCCACCACTGCAGCACAGTTTCCAGGTGAGCATGGGTGGATTTGGCGTTTGGAGCCTTTGTCAGGCTGGGACAGGGTGGGCTTTTTGAGGACTTGAGTTGCAGTGTAAGAAGCTGTCACTGGCCCTGAGTGGGCTCATGAGGAGTTTCCTTCCTTGGCACCCAGCCTCTGGAAAACCCAGCCCTGTGGCGTGTGTGCTGGCCCCCACGGCCAAGCACCAAACACCTTGGTCTCCACATTCCCTGTCATGGTAGTCGCTTGTCCTCAGCCCCCACAGGAGTGGCCCCTGTTCCTTCCCTTTTCCATCTCCCAGCTTCTTATCATCAGTGGACAGAGTAGTTTCTTTCTGCCCTCCCTCAGTGTGGGGAGGCTGCAGATGCCAGGAGACTCATTTTTAAGCTTATATATAGTTCCCTTAACCTAGAGTATGTTTGGATTATATTTCTGTTTGTTTTCTTCTACTTTCTTACTGTACCTTTTTCTTTTATTATACTGAACCTTCTTTTTAAAGTATTTATCGCCTCCACCCCTTCATAAAAGTACGTGGATTAATACAGAAGCGAATATACATTAATGGCTTAATTCTTACAAAGCCACAGTATCACAGTTTTCCCAATAGAAGTGGAAAGTACTTGCTTAACAGCATATAATTCCTGGTTCACATTTGAATGTCTTTCTCAGACAGATGCTTTTAAGGGATAGACTTAGGGTGCATCAGAATCCTCTCTCTGTAGGGGAATGCTGGGACAACTGAGTGGTAGCTTGGCTGTGGGAAAGCCCAGCTTTGCTGGTGGCTCTGAGGGTTCAGGGGATGCTGCAGGCCTAGATGGTGGGGTGTGTGTGCTGCACAGGGTAAGACACTCCAAGCCATTGAGCAGAAACTGGGCTTGCATTCTATGGGACATTATCATCACTTTGGTGAGAGGAGTACTAGCTGACTCTTGGCTTTTCACACAAGAGCCACTGAATCGAAATTCAGGGCACCTTAGGAGGCATTTGCCCGCCCTCATTTACATTCATGGTCCCGAGACTAAGGCCTTCCTCAGCGCTGTGTGGGTGCAAGCAGACACGCATCGTGGGGCATCAGCTCCACAAGGGCTTTTGCTGAGTGCATTTGGAACCTTAACTGGACAGGGGGAAAAGTTGAGGAAGTTGTAGCCCCTTGATGTGTATTAAAAATGATGGCACTGGGGCTGGGGATTTAGCTCAGCAGCATAAGCACCTGCCTTGCAAGCAAGCAGGCGGTCGTAAGTTGATCCCAGGTACCAATAAAAAAAAAAAATGACGGCATTGTTAAGCATCCTGATAACATCCGGCAGTTCATTTGTAGGTGAAATGACCATGTACACATTATATAGTCGACTCCCCTGGATTTAACCCCCTCGGCCCCTACAGAGAATTACTATCACTCTCCCTCTCCCCCAGGGTCTGTGTGAGCTATAGAGAGAAGCAGAGGCCACCCAGGAAACCTCAAGAGCAGGGAACCTAAGGGCCAGCAATTACGGATGGGGGGCCTCCAGACTGGTAGTGGTGGGACAGCCAGCCTCCTCTTCTCCAGCCCTTCTGCTGTTTTTGGTGGAGAATTGCCCGCACCCTTGATGGGGTTTGGCAGAGGGGCCGGAGAGTGGGGAGCATGGGTGCTGTGATCCAGGGTAGTGGTTATTCCTGAGAGCTGGTTTCCAGCACCTGCCCATTCCTGCCTCTTACCACATAGACCTCTGACACTTCTTTTGTGTTATCACAGGTCTCAACACGGGCAGCAATGCTTTCCAGATGAAGACAGCTCACCAAGTTGCCTCGGAAGCTAGTTTCTCAACGTGCAAAGGAAGTCCTTTGTTAAGGTAAATGGTGGGAGCCTTTCTGAATAGCAGCACTAGATGTGCAGTGTCACTCCACAATGAATTCAACTCCGGCTGCATATTATTTTATCGCATGACTTGATGGAGAGTTAACGGTTTGCGTTTTTGTTTATCTAAAATCACAGTCAAAACTTTAGTCTACCTTTGAAAATGTTTGCCCCACAGCCAAGTATTGTTTTGCAGCTGTGATTTTCTTGCTTTAAGACTCAATTGACACCTCAGTGAACCACAAATTAGCACCCACAGCTGCTTGCAGCAGGGCTGCTTAGAGACGCACAATGGGGCTGTCAGGGAAAGGGCAGAGAGAAAACATCAGGCCTTGAAAGAGAGAAATGTGGCCTATTTCTCCTTTCTGAGCGGCTGATGCATAAACTAGCAATTGCTAGATATTATCTTTTGTATTCTTTTTTAGCAAGTATTTAGGCTACATTACTCTTTCCACCTCTGATACTTTCTTGCTTTTTTTCTTTAAAGTACAAAATTCATGTTTTTACATTTGTTAAGCTATAACACTTCTCATAAGATGTTTTGAGCTATGACAGATGAATTATGTACAGAATTTATCAATGTAAAATACTCATGCAGCAGGATTTAAGCAGTCATCTGAAAGAATGCCTACCCAGCCATTTTAGGCCAAATGTCATTTAAAATAGCGCCAAAAGTTTCCTTTTCAATAACACAGTTTAAAAAGTGGTCTTTTGATTATTGCATTGTATTTGAATTTACTGCTCGATCCTGCTGAAACTTTTAAACAAGAACTTTACATTTCTAATGTTACATGTACTGTCCCAGTGCCTAAAATGATGTGATCCATAAATATCATATTGAAATAAAAGTGAAAAGAATCCACTTTTCATTTGCGTTTTATAAGAACAGTATAACATTTTAGGACCTGGAGTGTATTAAAATTAAGTTGGCTTTCTAAAATTCTTACTATTAGAAACTTGACAAGCATCCAAAATGACCACTTAATTATGAGACAGTATTATTTTTAACTCCCAGGTTTGCATCCATATTAGGGAAGGAGGTGTCAGCCACCTGCTAAGGAAGAGTGTTAGACCATTAGGTTGTGATGATTATACTGTGTATTTGGGCTCTGGATCTTTTACAAGAAGTTTTAAAGAACAGTAAATTCTGTAGATAATTTTTAGGACTTAAAGTTACTATTTACTTTAAAAATACAGCCCTTTAGTTTTTTATAGTTAGAAGTGTTTCAGTTATATTTCAGAGGCATTGAGAAAACAAATTCTTCCTTAAATTTTTTTATAAATGTTCATTGGGCAGTTTTTAAATGCATTCAAAAACAAGTGAACTTCATAGAACATTTTCTCAACCTGACAATTTTCATATCTTGCATGTATTTCCCCAAACTAAAATGGAACATTGTCCTCCTCCAAATGGAGGAAGAGGCCTTTGGTTATTATTGTTGTTTCTTCATGAAATTAATTTCATCACAAGGGAGGAGAATCTTATTACTCTCTTTAAGGAGAAGAAAAGCAGACAGAGGTCTGCAAGCAGCTCTGGTTCTGGACGCTTGCTGACCGCCCTGAGACGTGGGGCCGGGAACCTGGACGTTGGTCTGACAAGCCATCTGTGCCCCGGGCCTTGAGCTGGGTCTGATGCTGGTAGTTCTCACCCTGGCATCGGAGAAGCTGCCTGCTTCCGAGCCTGGAGTCCTCACTGAAGTTTCTTTGAGGCTTACATTTAAGGATCCCACTTACTGCACTCACTGCTTGTGCTTTATTGCTTTTACAAGTGGTCTCGAAACCCAGTACTTGAGAATAAACATAACAGTGCAGCACTGCTGTAGCACTTTTAAAAATTCTTCTTTGCTCTGTTTTGTCAGTGAGCTGATGAGCAACCTCAAAAAAAAAAAAAAAAAGCCCTGCTGGACCTTAAAAAAAAATAGCTTCCTCTGATGTCCTAGAGACAATAATTATGATGTGCTAGTTAAGCCCGAACTACAGCTGAGGGATTTTACTTTAAAGCAGCGGCTTGGGTGCAAAAATGCATTTATAGCTCTTTGTCTGCACCTCATTATGTGTGGGCCTGATTCATTAAGTAATTGGTTTGCAGTTGTTTACATGAGTATTAAGGCCTTCTTTTCAGCCGCCTTTGAGAGATACATTGTGCAAATGTTGGCTGTGATGAATGCGGAATGAGGGCCAGAGGGCCCGTCCTATTGGCTAAACAGTGCACTCTGCTGAAAAGCCAGAGAAAGGCACTGGGTGCTGCTTTGCATAGCAATGACTTTCTTAATAAGCGTTACAGATTAATACACACAGCTATAAAAGATGCAAAGAGATACTCTTAGCACATTTAGCCACGCTCATTTCATCATGATGGTGGTGGGCTCTGGCCGCTTTCGTGCTCGGTGTTTCAGAGCATCGGCTTCAGAGCATGAGCTGTAATAGAATCCGATGTTTATTGTATGATAAATCACGGGCAAGTAGGCAGATCAGCAACAGTTTATTATTAAAGATTCTTTCAGTGTAAATCTTTTTCTGCCATTGTATTTGCTTCAGCAAAATCATTTTGTGGTTGAGTGGGGATGAAAGGCATAATGTTCGAAGGAGTGAGTCCTATTAGGAAGCCGCGCTCTGACTAAAGACCACTTGTTCCCTTTTGTTCAGGGTGCCTGCCGGAGCTTCCTCTCCTCACAGACATTGTCTCACTTTACCTTCCCCAGGAAGCCCGCTCCCCTCTGCTGGCCCTCCTATTCAGTGGGGAGTGGTCCCAGCAGCCCACTGCGGAACTAACTTTAGCCTGCCGCTTCTTGCCTTGTAACTTCAGCTTACTGATTACATCAAGATGGTTTTTTTGCCCAAAGAAAAGGGTGTATTCCTGCCACATAAGTGCTAGTGGGAAGGTAACAAATCACCGAGACACTGGCTCCAGTGTCACTGTGGGTGGCATTCCCTGCTGGTCCTGCAGCCACAGAGATGGCCAGCGGAGGGCGCCGGTCTGCGGCTGACACTGGCCTGGGGCCTGGCGTGGCTCTCCTTGCCTCCTCACTGTGCTGGTTTCCTTGGGATAATATCACAGTCATGAGAACTTGGTTGTCCAGGGAAATAATGGCAAGTGTTTCTTGGAAATCTTTTAGGTTCTCTTATAAAAGTATCCATCCCAGGCTCTAGCTTAGCAAATCTGTATTCTCCTTCAGTCCCACTGAGTTCGCAGATTCCCAGCTATTCCTCATTCCCTGTCACAAATGCGCATCTTGATTTTCATACAGAGGACTTCTACATAAGAAAATCCTTGTTGTCAAGTTGCCCCTTGACCGTTAAAAATAGCATCTCCTGTAGGGCCCCCGACTAACCATCAGGGGGCGCTCCGACTTTGCCAAATTAGCACCATTGCAGCCCCGTGGGGCTCTGAGACTTCAAATCAAGATTGTAAGTTGCTGGTGTGGATGCTGAGATTGTTTCTTTCATTTCTGTTTTTTAAAATTATATGTCCATTTTGAGCGAAGTTCCATAAGAAGATAGTATTTGAGAAATACTGATTTCATTTAGCAATGAAATTATGAAAAGCTTCAGCTCCAGAACCAAGAGACGGGCTGGGCATGGAAGGGCCACTGCGAGGCCACAGACTAGACTCTCAGGAAGGTAGGGTCTCAGTTTTGTCGCAGGACTGAGTCCCCAGGGCATAGTTTCTGAGGTTCCATCAGCATGTGGTTCATGTCAGGACATCCCTGGGTCTGTGGGTCCCCAAGTTTCTCCTGCAGGGCCAGGCCCACACCCCAGACCCACTTCCATTTCTGCAGGTCTCCTGGTGGCTTGTGGTCAGCACCTCCTGTGTCATCCAGCACTCCCTACTTCTCCATTGCACCCTGGCTGTTCTGTCCCCACCTAGCACAGGGACAGACACCTTCTCCTCCCTGCCTGGGGACAGGGCCTGCAGCCCATGTCACTTGTTACTGGGTGCCTGTCTCCTGCAGCAGAGGTAGAGCCCGCCTTGCTCATATGCTGCCTGGCCAAGAGCTTCACACAGTGTCCCTTCCTCTCTGCATGTTCTGTCCTTCCGCAGGCAGAGCGAGCAGGTGAGTACCAGAGCTCAGCACAGATGGTGGCCACTGCCATGAGGGATCAGGCATGTTACCCTGTGCTTCACTGCTGCCTGGTTTCCCCACCAGTTACACATTGGGCCACAGAGCTCTCGCTGGGGGCGTCCGCCCGAGCCTGGTGGGATACATCCCATTCTGCACACAGGAGACTGAGCCTAGAGCTGCACAGCGAGCAGAGTTGGAACCGGAAGCCATGCCTGGCCCAGCACTCATCAACCCCAGCAACTGAAGGCAGCTCACCTGGCCAGCACACGGTGGACAGGGCTGGGTTGCTGTGAGCCCGGCTTCCTGGGCCTCTCTGCTCGTTGTGAGACAGGGGACACCCTTTGAGGTTCAGGCAGCAGGAGAGCATCTTGGTCCCATTTTGTTCTGCCACTGGCCAACTCAGTGTCTGGGCCCTTTCCCCCAGGGAGTGACAGCTCTGGGTTGACATCCTCAGTGTTTGGGCCTAACATAATGTGGATTTTTAGCCTTAGGTTTTCTGGGTCTCATTTTGTATCTGTACACTGGGTCTAAAATGCAAGCTTATACACCCACAGTGACCCTTGCCACCTGGTCCCCAGGGAGGCAGATGTCTCTGTTGGCCACGTGGCCTGCAGTTCTTCGCTCAAATGACGTGAACAGTGGCACCCACTTTCTGCTGCTCTGCTCACACACTTTGTCACCCTGACTCCAGTGCAGTGTCCTGGCTGACCTTAGCTTCTTAAGTGTTCCAAAAGTGACCGTGGTGAAAGTGGCTGTGGTGATATCGGCCTAGCCTGACTGTTCAGTTTCAGAACTCATAAGTAATTACCGAAGTAATTACCGAGCATGGCCGGGCTTGACAGAGACAAAGTGGGGTGCTGGAAGAGCTGGAAGAGCCAAAGTGGAAAGGTGCTCACTGTGGAGCACCTCGAAGGGCATGTGGTATGCAGGGTACAGCTCGGGTGAAGAGTCCCCTTAGTGCAGAATACACTCAGTCATTCCCTGTGGCATCTTATCTGAAAATGCTTTGTTTTGAGCCAGGCCCTGAATCTTAATTGTGAACATCGGGAAAAGATGCCAACACTTTACCTTGGATCCACAAAGGACTCTGGCAGGCCCTGGCAGCCCCCTGCTACAGGCCTAGAGGTAGCCCTGGGCCAAGCTCAGGCACAGGTCCCAATAGCCCGTGAACTGAGGGCTGTCCACACTTTTCCACAGCAGGGGATAGTCTGGAGAGGAATATGCTATGGTGCCTGAGTGCACAGGCCCTGATTTCAGTGTCTGTGAATGGGGTTTCCTCAGAACTCAGCGTGTCCTGTGGCACATATTCTCCCCATGCTGATTTTGTGCCTCATCAGAGCCAGAGCTGTGATGCCCCATGAGCAAGGCCTGTCCTCCCACCTCAGGGACCAGTGTGCCCGGCCTCAGCTTCCCACACACCCCTGCCCTGCAAGATGGAGCAGTGCTCCTCTGCATCTGAGGCTGACAGACAGGAGTGTGTGCTTGTTCCCTAAGCAGCAGGAGAGCTGGGTGAGCCAGCTCTATTTGACAGTGCAGGAGCCCGCTCCTCCATCGCTGGTTGGCCCAGCATCCCAGTGCAGGGGTGGTACATGCCCACCCATTGGACCTGGCTCCCACTGGAAAGGAGTGCCCCATAGGTGTGAGCAGCAGAGGCCCAGTCAGCCCCACCCTTCTCTGCCAGGAGATAGTGCCACATGGTTCTGAAATGTTTCTTGTGAGAAAACTGGTAACCCGCACAGGAGCCATTGCATGATGGATTCACATTTCATGGGGTTGCCAACACATTCCCCGCAGCTTACATAGTCTTAATAAAGTTACTGTGTAACCACAGGACGGCAAGCAGCTGCAGGTTCAGGTAGCCCCATGGGGACACAGCCTGCCCGTTGCCCTCACAGAGCCACGGGGCCCCAGCCACCTGACACGCCCCCTCTGGCAGAAGCTGACCTGTGCCCACTTGCCCCTGCAAGCTGAATGATCGAGACCCTCACTGGCAGGGCAAGGCCCACAGCTGTGTCTCACTGCTGTGCCAGGATTTTTCTTGGAGGGTAGCAGTTTGTTGGGGTTTGTTTTCCTCTTTTGCCATCAGGCAAGCCAAAGAAACTTCAACCACCTGACCCCAAAGTCACATGCTCATGAGAAACATGCATACTACACCTTTCTCTGTGACCATTAACTATGGCCACAGTGACCTGGTACCCAGGCTGGGCACCTCCTGGGCTGGGTGTTGTGGCCTGCACTGCAGCAGGGAGGGGCACCTCCTGTGTGAGGGACACTCTCAGGCAGGCAGCAGCTGCTTGGACAGACAGGGGCAGAACAGGAGCGTCACGTGTTCTGGCCTGTTCTGGAGATCTGGGGCAGTGTCACAGTCTTTGCAGCCATGCAGAGGGAAGGCATTGAGGCCCTTACATGAGGAATCGATCAGATCGTGCTTTGTAAACCTCACTCTTGCTAGAGTGGGAAACAGGTGAGGGAGGGACAGGACTGGTGCAGTGTCACTGTCTAGGAGACGGCTGCCAAGATGCAGCCTGAGTGGTCATGGGATACGGCGAGAGTTTCAGGGATCGAAGCTTGGCAGGGCCAGGCTGCTGGGGGGTGGCAGAGAAATGAGAGGCATGAGGACTGGAGGCTTGATGTGCCCTGCCCTGGCCCTGTGATGTGAGGAGAGACCTTGCCTGGTGGGGAGGGGACCACAGCCTCTGCACCCCCACTCCTGTACCAAGGCTTCTGCTGCACACCCTGCTGTACCTTGTCCCATGGTCATGGCCTGCAATGTCCTCTCTGTCCTAAACTCTGAGCTGAGTCCTCTCACCTCACGGGGATCCTGCAGCCCCATCCATCACTCAGCACTGTGTTCTCTAGCCGTCCAGCCACTAGCCATTGTGGCCTCTCACCCACTCTGCTTCCTGATCTCAGCTGGCACATTAACCCTTGCGTGCCTACAGTGGGTTGAGAGCGAGCCCACCTCTATGCTCTATTGCAGCCCACCGTCTGCTGGGGATGGGAAGCAGAAAGAGTAACAGCCCCACTAACTTCTTCCTGTGTGTGTGTGTGTGTATGTGTGTGTGTTTGTGCACGTGCGCGCACGCACAAGCATACATGCACTTAGCTTAAGATGACTCTTTTGGGTTCATTCTGGGTATGCCCATGTTCCCAGCACCCTGCCTGTGGCCAGCTGCTGGGTCCCCAAGGTAACTGGGGCTTCTGCTCTACACAAAGGGTAGCCACAGGCCTCCCTGGTCCTTCACCTGACGGGCACTGCACTTCAGAATACTGACCTAAGGTAATCTTGTAAAATGATTCTGTGCTGGAGCTTGTTCATGAGGGAAAGACAATGGCGGCTTTGACAAAAGGCAGTCTCAACATACAGTCCAGCCCCCTGGGCCAGGGGCTCTTGCATCTGGAGGAGCCAAGGTGGCCCCCGGTAGGTGTGGGCACTTCCTAACATCCCCTTTGACCTCCTCCCTCCTCCACATGTGCCTTGGAGAATTGAAGTAAAATAAAAAAATGTAAATGCTGCTTCCAGAAGTTCCAGAAGGGACTTTTAAGTTGTTAGAATTGCAAAGCTCCTGCAAGGTGTGCTGAGAAGCCCCTTGCTGAGCCACGCTTTCTGTCCGTTGCCCTTGGCAGATGAGCTGCAGGCACCACATCGTGTGCAGTCCACACCTGAGCCCCAAACACAGGCATCCATCACGCTGTATTTTCTCTCATGTGTTTGTCGCCTTCTCTGTTAAAATGCTGGTGTTGCGGTCACAGGCTCACCTGGGATTAGGATTTGAATTCTTCCCCAACCTGGGGACAACACAGAAGCATGCCCACCTTGTGCCCACGTCTTGAGTTCCCTACTGCCAGTGGCCACTGCGAATCTTGGCTTTGTGCTTTTATCATCTGTGAATAAAAACAAAGTCTCTGGCACTGCCATGAATAACAGTGCCTCTCTCCTAAGGTAATCTTGTAAAACTGTTTTTCTGATTGTCATTTTTTTTCAGGCTGTTTCTTTCTTTTACAGGCATGAAGACAAAAAGAAATTAGTGACCCATTTGAAGTCGAATGGTAAGAGAAATATCTGGACACCAATCTTGGTGCATTTGAATGAAAAATTACATTTTACCAGGTACTAGTCCTCATGTACCAGGTACATGTCCTCGTGTAAGGACTACAAAGTGTGTCTTTAGTCGAGGGTGGATCCCTACTGACCATGGGGTGGGACCCAAGGGCTTCTGAGCAATGGGACTTCAGTGACAGGGCATGCCATGGGCCACAGTGCAGAGCAGCGTTACATCCAGTTGTGGATTGGTAGGGCGTCCTAGCCTCCACACCCAGTTGTTGACCACACTAGAATAGGGTTTTTTTGTGCCTCTGCTCTGCTTAACAAAAGGCGGTCAGTGGAGGAGCAGCCTGGGGCGATTGTCTGTCCCTGTCCTATAGCAGACCTTGACACAGAGGAAGGAAGGGATGCATCCTGCAATGCACAAGATGCAGTGGGGCGTATGTTCTCCCCTGAGGCTGTGTCTGTGGTTGATGTCACACATGCCTGCCATGTGCTGTCTGCTGCACTGTTCTGTAAACTCCAAGTCAGAGTTCAGAACCTGTTCCACCGCTGTCTGCTTTTCTCTTGCAGCCTTCTGGGGGGAGTCTGATGACAGTAACTCAGAAATCGAAGCTGCTTTACGTCCCAGAAGCCAGTACACGTCTGCTGATGATTTCGATGACTTTTATAACTAATAAGTGGTAACGTCTGCTGGAAATAAAGCCTTTAAACTAACTGAAACCCTCTTTTATGTGTGAAATGGTGCAGAAACTTTGAGAAACAGTCCTCAGAAAGTTAAACATAAGAGCTACCCCTGACCTAACCACTCGAAGAAGTATTATTCACGAACTAAAAAGTGGAACACCTCAAATATCCATCACACAGTAAATGGATGAGCAAAATGTGGTCTAACCATACAAAAGAATATCATTGCTCAATTAAAAAAAGAATGGATACTGACACATACTGCAATACAGATACACCTGGAAACCATGAAGCAGAAGAATTCCGATGCAGAAGATCATGTGGCTTAGGAGTCACGTGGATGGTGTGGCCAGGATAGTGAAATCCATAGAGCCAGCAGATGCTTGGTTGTCTAGGCCTGGGATTGAGAGGAGAGAGGCCTGACTACTCGAAGTGTGGCGAGTTGTGTTCTAAAATTGATGGCAGTTGTGCAACTCTGAATAAACTGGAAACTATGATCATGTGCTTTAAATGGGTAAATTACTGGGGATTTAGCTCAGTGGCATAAGCGCCTACCTGGCAAACATGAGGTCATGAGTTTGATCCTTGGTCCCCAAAAAATAAATAGATGAGTTGTGTTATCATCTGGTTTCTGTTTGGTATTTTTAAAAAGGAAATTGGTGATGAATACATTTTGGGGTCCGATTACTTAGGAACACCTATGGGCAACTCTTGGCTAACAGGTCGTTTTGCTTTATTTTTTCTGACTTACTTGCTCTAAAAAGAAAATAGTTTATTCTTTGCTTTTTAAAGCCTTTAACTTTATATTCCAGGATTGTTTTTTCAATTAGTTCTTCCCTATCCACCATATTAAAAAACAAACATGATTTAGTGGTCATTGCCATTATTTGAATTTCCTTCCGAAGTTCATGTTGAGATTCATTACTGTTGTAGCAGTAGCATTACAGAAGTTAAGCTATGAATGGATGCTGTTATCATGGAAAGGCAAAGTCTGGCCCCCATCCTCTCTGAGTCCATGTTGCCTTTCCCTCTGGGAACCATCACAGCAGGCAGCCCCTCACCAGATGCTGGCACCATGATCTTGGACATCCAGTCTGTTCTTGTAAAATACCCAGCCTCAGGTATTCTGTCACAGCAGATTAGCATTTTTCTGCTGAAAAATGAACAAATACATTATGGCCTAAAGCATATAATGGAAAGATTTGGCATCATTCTGTTTTAGGCCTGGAAAAGCATTTAGAGATTACCCGGTCTTTGAATGTTAGAATCACAAGGACACTAACATTTTCATTTAGAAAAGTTGTTCAAAGTGATACACACCCTGGACAGTCAAATGAAAGACAATGTAGGAATGAGCTAACCAGCAGGTGCTAAGGAGAAAAGGAGAGCATAGTGTACCTGGCAAGCACTGAAATTAACTGTAAAAGTGCAAGTTACTTTGACCAATGAAACCTCAACAGAAATTTAGGAACTTTAAGTACAATGTGTGAATCCCAAGGCCTCCTTTCCTGGGTCATCAGTCATGGAAGCATGTGATGAAGTGGAGCCTGCAGGCCCCTGAGCCCCTAAGGGACTGAGATGGATCCACAGAGCTGGCAGTTTTTAACCACAGGAAATTTCTGGCCCAGCCTGAACAGCACACCACTCCTCCACGCAGATGTACTCTAGGAGCTAGGCCATGAGATTTTCCATTTTTGAGTGGTGACACTTGCAAGGTTTCTTAAATGCTCATTTTACATATTTTTGAAAAAATTTTAAACTGTATTCTTAACAAACATTTTTTTCCAGTCTGAGAACCTCAATTAACCAAGTATCCATGAACTTGGTAACAATGAAGATGAGATGAACTCAGAGGGACTTAACAGTAACTGCCTTACACCAGGCCCCACCACTGAAGTTCAGACACAGCTTTCTCATGTACTCACTCTGCAAGCTCTGCTAGCACCTCGTGTGTTAGGCCTTGCTTGCTGTGCTGGTTATCCAAGAAGCAAAGGGAATCTTAACAGTCACTGACCTCAGCGTACTCATACTCTGGCCAAGGACATAAAATCTCAAGCACTACTTTGTACACATTGTGTGGGCTAGTGGGAAGTCCACGTGAAATACACTAAATTTCTACCTTACCACAAGAGAAAGTCCAGCTGGGGTAAAGAATTGAATGTGAAAAGAAAAACTTTTAAGCTTTTAAAGAAGAATTATCTGTATGACTTTGGAGCATGAAATAATTTTGTAACCAAGATAGAAATACACTCAAACAGGAAAAATTCCAATAAATGTAACTACATTAAAATTTAAAACTTTTGTATGACAAAATTACTGAAAATGGTGTACAGCTAAAAGGTGATATTTGTAGAATATATGTTTGTCCCATATCTGCATCTGGACCATAGAAATAATCACACATCACTAAGAAATATAAACAGTGGGAAAGCAAGGAAGAGGAACAAACAATTCATAGAAAAAGAAGCCAGATGGTCATAGACATAAAGAAATATGAAAGCAAACTGTAAAAGAAATACACAATAAATTGCTATTTTGTACCCAGTCACCTGGCACTGATCAAGAGGCAGATCACACAGTGATGTGAAGAACTTCCAGCAGGGGACTTTTGTACACTGAGGTACCTGTTCATAATATCAAGTTGCAGGTGGATACACCCATGACCTCATGTTTCCACTCCTAAATATGAACTATAGAACCACAATCCCATGTGATTGTCATCAGCCATATGTGACTGGAATCTCTGAGAGATGTAGCAGTCTAGACTGAGAGATACACAATAGATTTGAAGATGTGTATGAAAAATAGCCAAAATATTTCAATACTGATCACAGTGTATTGGATATGTTGCATTAAAATATATCATTAAAATTAGTTGTGCTAGGTTTTCCCTACCATTTTCTCTACATTTTCTAAGTTTCTAGTTACTAGATGTGCTGTAACAGTTTAGATCTAGAATCCCCACCTCCACCCCCACCACCTGAACTCTCATTTACTCAGAGGTAGGGCTCTTGGAAAGTGATTGGACCATTGTGGCACTATATTCATCACTAGATTCATCTACTAATGAATTTAACACCTGAGTTTGCTGTTAAGAGATAGGATCTGGTTAGAGGCATCTTGCTGGGGAATATGACCTGGGAGGGTAATCTTGCCCTGACTCCCTTGTCACTGTGCTTCCTGACCACTATGGTGTGAGCAGTTTTACTCCATAGCCTGTCTCCCATGCTTCCCAAGAAGATCCACCTAGAAAATTGATTCCCCAGAATTCATTTCAGAGCACTCCCCATCCAAACACAGAGGCCTCTGCAGTCATGATCCACGGGGGCCCGATTACTGCTTGAGTGTTCAGATTTCAGGCATGCAGAATCCAAGAGTTGGGTCATGAAGGCTTCCACTCAGTTTGGAAGAAGGCCTGAGGGGCAAGGTAATGTGCCCCTGTTAGAAGATGCAAAAGTGAAGGCAAAAGTGCTGTAGACCCCAGGAAGTTGAAGAAACCAGGCACATACATCTGAGGATAGCCACAGAAATGAGTGGAGCCACCCCAACAAAGAGGCCATGAGGAATCTGTTGTCTTTTGTCCCTTGCCAAAACATGAAACTACTCAACAGCTGCCATCTCCAGATCTCAGCCACAGTGAGGATGGCACAGTGATCAGAAAGCAACAATCAGGAAACCACCACAATCAAAAATCTTCATGACAGCTGCCATTTCCTGATTTGTGCTCCCTTTAATCCATCTGCACTAGAGGAATGGATGTCCTCTGCAGTGCCTCAACAGCCTTGGTCCTCCGATGACCCTCAACAAGTAAGCAGTAGCAGTCTTGCCTCCCTCCTACTCTCCAAGTCTTATGCTTGGCAGGACTGACCTAAAATCACAATGGAACTCTAGCTGCAAGGGAATCTAGGAAATGTAGCTTGGGCTTTCCAGCCTCTACAACATAGCAATACATACCAGGAGGGGCTGAAGTGGATGTTAAATACTCGTCCTCCATATTCTCTATATATCCACACTGTGGTCCAGGGATACAATTGAGAGAAAATGTTCTTGATAGGGAAAGGTGAATTCTGTGAAGCACTAAAGTCAATTCACTGATTCTTGTCCCTAGAAGCACACCTTTGTAACCCTACACACACATACACTGTCCAGGCATGAACCCTAATAAGGCAAGTCTTGATGGAAGACCATACACAGATACTCACCATAAAATTTCCTACATTTGTTGTCACTGGGGCTTGGCTGCCCTTGAACTTATCATTTGAATGAATTGTTTTTCTACTTCTTTTTAAGTAATCAGACATTGCTGTCTCCTCCCTGACTCTCCTTCCTGCCTGGTAGTTTGAAACACTCAGTGTCACATTACTGACAGATTAGATTTATTTAGGCCTCAACTCTGTGATAGCTATGAGCTTTTACTCCATTCCCTCAACAGCACAAAAAATTAGATAACCAAACATCTAACAAATCCTAACAGCTTTCTTCTAATTTTCAAGCTTTCGTCAACCTTAAGCACTCCTGTCACTAATGGCAGTAACCTGAGCACAGTGCTTAGGTGACAATCCAATTTTGATGAATCAAACTGGAAAAAATACATTAACGATGACCACAATAATTCTAGCCCAAAACCTAAGCAGATAAGGGTGATATTGCCCATGAACTTACCCTGAGTGATAGGAACTGAACTTGTCTAATGGAAAGACTCATTAGCAGTCAATGGCCAAGATTTCAAGATTTGGTAATGGTTGTAATTTATTTCAAAATCATCTGGACATCTCTGATTCCTTAAAGTAGTTCCCTTTAAGTCTTTTTGAACGACATATTGTCATTTGCTTCTCTCTGCCAATGTTTTCCATTTCCTCAGGCCAGGCCAGTCATTGACACAAAGACTCATATTTGATGACAGATGGTTCTGTAAGCTTCAGGTAAGGCCGTATCTCACTTTTGGAAGGTATGTGATAACCAGGTTCCTCTAGAGCCTGCTTTATTATACTATGATTGTGCACAAACTCATTAGATGTGAAACATTCTGCCAGTCAACTTGATCCTACTCTTCCCCAGCTGTCATGCTGGCAGCTCAAAGATGAGGACAGATGATACTGATGGATGGCACCACTGCCACTGCCTGTCTTCCCAGATCGAGTGCCTGGTGCTCTCCACCAAGGGACCATACAGAAGACAGAGCTGGGGAGCCACTCTGTGACGCCCTGTGGTTTAATCACGGTAATTCCCTGGATGGCATGTTTAGGGCTCTGTTGGCTGGGCCTCCATAGCATTTACAGGCACACACGCAGTCCTCAGTTTCCCAGCCGCCCCAAGACAGTGCCATCTGCTGGACATGTGGTCTGGATTCTTGCTAAAGACCAGTCTCTGTCCCTCTTCAGATTCACCTGCATCGGGTCTCAAGGCACAGAGAGACATTTGTATAACAATGTAAGAAGTAGCTGTTACTCAGTTTCTCATTCTGTAGGGACATTTATTCAAGAGGACTGTGCTGGGCCAAAGCTATGGCAGGATGGATTTGCCCTGGTCTCTGCCCTCAGACTTTTCTGTCCTAAAATGAATGAACAACAACAACAAAAATTGCCTATGATCACCTCAGTGTAAAATACTTAAGAGTGATGTT